GCCCCCTTGTTTACTTTTGTCCCCAATTTCTGTTTAATGGAGAGCAGATTTTTTTCAACACATTTCTAAATATAAAATTTGAATAACTCATTTCTAATAACTGATATATTTTATCTTTGCCATGATGAGAGTAAATAATATTTTACTAGATATTTTTCAAGATACTAGTATTCAGAAGTGACATTTAAAGGCTTAACTAAGTTAATTAGGTTAACTAGGCAGGTTAGGGTAATTAGGCAAGTTATTTTATAATGATGGTTTGTTCTGTAGACAGTTGAAAAAAATTGCTCAAAGGGGCTAAAAATTTTGTCTCTAAAATGGTGTTTAAAAAATGAATAGCTGCTTTTATTCTAGCTTAAATAAAACAAATAAGACTTTCTCCAGAAGAAAAAATGTTATCAGACATACTGTGAAAATTTCCTTGCTCTTTTAAACACCATTTGGGAAATATTTATAAAAAGATAATTTTAAAAGGCTAATAATTCTGACTGACTAATTAAAACCTGACTGCCTATACAAGAAGTCTTATAATGGCTGGATCTTCTGAGATCATCAAAACAAACATGAAAGTCGACACAAAATAGTTCACTGAGCACAAAATGGCCAGCCCAATCCCCTGATCTGAACCCTATTGAAAATGTGTGGATTGTAGAATAAAGAGCACCAACATGGACAAGAAACCCTGAAGAATCTGAAAAGATTTATGTAAAGAAAATTGAGCTGCATCTTTCTGATTTCCTCAGGTTACATTACTCAGAACTGTTATCTAGGCTAATAGAGGCTGCAAATCTATTGAATAAAAGAGTGCCAATAATTTTCATAATGAGAACACCACCCCACCCCCTTATTGTTTTATATCAATGAAATATTTTGAACTAAAGTTATAAACTCTACAAATTAATGTTCACTGTATTTTTGACTCCTATTCACCCAGGGTGTCAATCATTTTGAGCATGACTCTACATTTTGAGTGAATGTTTTGGGAACACTTGCATCCTGGGAAGCATGATTTTCTTGGAAACAATTTGAGTCGTCAAAAGTAAAAGTTATTACATGCTTGTCCCCAATCAATCATATTTATGAGCTGTTGTCATCAGTGATAACCAAGTTCATCTCCGGCATGGCAAATGACTCGCAAATCCATGCTTCTTAAAGAATTCAATAAGCAATTAGGCCTGATTTGGTAGTTATTGCTCCATGTAATGTCTAATAACGTTCATTAGAATTCATAATTACTTTGACCTGACTTTTTTTTTTCCCATCACACCTTCAGTGGCGTCTCTTGTTATCAACTGTCATGTCTTGTAAAAAGTGACATACCTGAATTTGAGAATTGTGTTACTTGTCTACATGTTTAAGATTGAACAGAAATTTTCTCAAACAATTTGGAACAGTTTATCTAGGCAAAGAATAAGAAACATATTATTTAATATTTTTATTTTATTTCATCACACAAATGCTTTGCAAAAATACCACATTTCAAATAACTCCAAAAGCTAAAAAAGGAAAAGCTTCTCGTGCAGTTACTTAAAGAAAGATGAAACTAATCTTATTTAAAATTTAGTCACCTCAACTTTCTCCCTCTCTCTCTTTTTGAGTATTTACCTTCTCCTTCTGTTGTAGTGTTGCTTACTGCTCTGTTGATGCTGTGGTTTCTCTTTATCAGTGTATTCTCTCTCTCTCTCTCTCTCTCTCTCTCTCTCTCTCTCTCTCTCTCTCTCTCTCTCTCTCTCTCTCTCTCTCTCTCTCTCTCTCTGTGAGTGTGTGTGTGTCTCATCATTGATTGTGCTCTTTGTGCGAGCGAGCAGACCCTCGTGTTGTCAGCTGCGTCAGGATTAAAAGCTATTAGTTCTGCATCATTGCCACTACAAGTGAGCCTCAGAGATTGATAGAGTTGCTCCACTGTCATTGGGGGCAGGCTGGGACAAAAAAAGGCTAGTTTTTATTATTTCCATAATATTGTGAATTTTACACTGTGTTTGTCTGTGTAAATACAGAAAACAAACAAAATGTTATTGATCCTAAAATTAAAATGATAAAATGATGATCTCATACATGGAGTGTTTATAAATGTTTACAGATGCTTTATCTAAAATAACTTTTATTCTTTAATTACTTCTAATGTACTTATAAGAAAAGTTTATTTTATATAATCATAACTAGTCTTATCTTTTAAGAGGGCTGAATAAAAAATAGATTTGAAAGTGGTAGTTATAGAGCAATTGATAGTTTTTTTTTAAGTTAAAATAGTCAATAGATTTGATGCAGTGAATATTGGATAAAACAATATATAAATTCATGAAAAAACAACAGATAAACAAAAGTTACATCAAACAGAACGTTAGAATGTTACTGCAATAGAATGATAGATAGCTAGATGGATGGATGAATGGACGAATGGACGGACGGGTGGACGAATTGAACAATAGAAAGATGAATGGGTGGAATGGATAGAGAGATGGAACAATTGAAGGATGGATGGATGGATGGACAGATACATAGATTGATAGATAAAACAATAAATAAAAAAAGATCTTTTGCCTTCAAGCAAAAAGAGAATAGGGATACCCTAATCCTACTGTACCTCTTCATGTCAATGTGTGAAATAGGGGAAAGCTAACAAAAAAAGGGGAGGCTAACAGATAGAATTGGGATTGGGCCCATGTCTCTCAGCTTGCCTGGTAATATCTTGGGATCCTCTAGGAGAAGCTGGACAAAGTGTCTGGAGAGTGGAAATCTTGAGATCCCTGCTGAGACTGCTGCCCCCACGACCAGGTCCTGGATAAACAGTGGAAATGTATGACTGGATGGATGGACAGATACAGTTGAAGTCAGAATTATTAGCCCCTTTTTTTACTTTCGTCCCCAATTTCTGTTTAATGGAGAGCATTTTTTTCAACACATTTCTAAATATAAAAGTTTTAATAACTCATTTCTAATAACTGATATATTTTATCTTTGCCATGATGACAGTAAATAATATTTTTCAAGATACTAGTATTCAGCTTGAAGTGACATTTAAAGGCTTAACTAAGTTAATTAGGTTAACTAGGCAGGTTAGGGTAATTAGGCAAGCTATTTTATACTGATGGTTTGTTCTGTAGACAGTTGAAAAAAAAATGCTCATGGGCTAATAATTTTGTCGCTGAAATGGTGTTTAAAAAATGAATAGCTGCTTTTATTCTAGCCTAAATAAAGCAAAAAAGACTTTCTTCAGAAGAAAAAAAAACGTTATCAGACATACTGTAAAAATTTCCTTGCTCTGTTAAACAACATTTGGGAAATATTTATAAAAAGATCATTTTAAAAGGCTAATAATTCTGACTGACTAATTAAAACCTGACTGCATATACAAGAAGTCTTATAATGGCTGGATCTTCTGAGATCATCAAAACAAACATGAAAGTCGACACAAAAATAGTTAGAATGTTACTGCAATAGAATGATAGATAGCTAGATGGATGGATGAATAGATGGACGGATGGACGAATTGAACAATAGAAGGATGAATGGGTGGAATGGATAGAGAGATGGAACAATTGAAGGATGGATGGATGGATGGACAGATACATAGATTGATAGATAAAACAATAAATAAAAAGACAGAAAGAGCAGCAAATAAACAAAAATCACAAATTTGGACATTAGAATTTTAAAGCGATGGATGGATGGACAGAGAGATGGAACAATTCAAGAATGGATGGATAGATGGATGGACAGAGAGATGGAACAATGGATGGATGGATAGATGGATGGGCAGAGATGGAACAATGGAAGGATGAAGAGATGTATTGATGGATGAATATATTGAATTTTAGATAAAACAATAAATGACAGAAGCAACACAAATAAAAAATGGCATAATATATTAGACTTTTGATTAGATAATAAACAATAAATAAAATGACAGAAAGAACAACGCTAGAATACTAGAGCACAGATAGATAGATAGATAGATAGATAGATAGATAGACAGACAGACAGACAGACAGACAGACAGACAGACAGACAGACAGACAGACAGACAGATAGATAGATAGATAGATAGATAGATAGATAGATAGATAGATAGATAGATAGATAGATAGATAGATAGATAGATAGATAGATAGAACAAATAAACAATGTTAGAGCACAGGATTGAAAGATGGGTGAACTGACAGGATAGTGTTTAATAGCATTGATTGATAGATGGAAAGAATAGAGAGTTTTTTTAATAGGAGTGATGGATGGACAGAATAGACCGGTTTAGTAATAGAAGGGATATGATGATAGAAAGACAGAAGGATGAACGGACTGACCATAGAATGATGGGTAAATGAAATGGATGGATGAAACAATAAAAGGATGGATGGATGGTTGGTTGGAGGAATATTAGATAAAACAATAGATAAAATGATGGAAAGAATAGAAAATAAACTAAAAATACTTAAAGAACTTTAGAGTTTTAGAACGATGGATGGATGGATGGATGGACAGAAGGGACATTAAAAGGATGGATGGATTGATAAATGGATGGACAGATAGATTAAATATTAGATAAAAACAATAAATACAATGACAGAAAGAACAATAAATAATAAAAATTACATAAAACAACGCTAGAATGGTAGAGCAACAGAACGATAGATAGATGGACGGATAGAATAAATATTAGATAAAATGACAAAGAACAACAAATAAACAAAATGTGTGAGCAACAGAACGATAAATGATTGGATGGACAGGATGTTGTGTGTGATAGCAGTGATTGATAGATGGACAGAATAGAGATTTAGTAATAGGAGTGATGGATAGACAGATTAGAGCGGTTTAGTAATGGGAAAGAAAGAAAGAAAGAATAGAGTGTTAGTAATTGTGTCAAAAATAATGATTGTCAATGTGATCACTTTTATTGGGTCAGAAAAAAACTGTTTTGCTAATTACTTCCTGCTGGCCTAAACAAGTGTGAGCGTTTACAGCTTGTCATGTTCTCACCTCGCTCTCATATTTCATTTCAGGCCATCGTGGGCTATTTTGACATTTTCTTCCACAAGTGCTGCGGAAACAAGGTAAGCAATAGTGCTGTGCTGTTTAACAGCGAGCGATTGCGGTCACGCCTGCCGTCTTTCAGGCCCCAGGCAATCGCAATGCAATCGGCAGCCTCTCATACCTAAATGCTGAAATAAGCATTTGCCTTCCTCCAGTGGCCAACTGGAACAGGCAATGAAATAAGCTGAAGCATCAGCCACGGAGCGGGATCGTGCGCTGGCTTCTGATAATGCAGGACTAGTTTTCATTTGTCCTGCTTTTGATCTTTGAGCATGAGTTTGTGTTAATGTTCTGCTGACATTTGTGTTCATTAGCAGTTGTCACAAAGGTTTTTTTAATATTGTCGGGCCAGATAAATTCAGGATAAAGTTAGTTTGTTTCCCACTATTCACCATAGTCAATATTGTTACCTTGTTATGAATGTAAGTTAATTTGCACTACATTACTTATTTTTAATAAATGTAAAAAATAATTCTAATTTCCCTACTCTTACTTAACAGTGAGTGTGTGTGTGTGTATATATATATATATATATATATATATATATATATATATATATATATATATATGGAGACTTTTTTTCCTTACAATTCCTTTTTATGTAAACATTTCTTTTTTGTATCTCCTATTTCAGATATTTTTCTTCAATGCAATTTTGACTTTTATCATAATTCTTAGCGTTATTCTTGTGCTAATTTTCTTTCTTTTAGAATTGAGATTTTGCAAACTTCAAGTTTACATTTAGCATTTTTTTTTTTACTTTTTTCCCTCAGAATTTTGAGATTACATGGCTATTTTTATGTTTGTTTTTTTTACATTATTATTTTTTGTTTTGAGTATGCATCTTACCGTTTTCATTTTTTTCTTCTAACAATTCTTTCAAACAGACATGATTGCTTTCTTCCCTGGTGGCTGAAATAAGCTTCCATATTGAAGCCATGTTATAGAAACAACAAGCATGTTTAGTTAGTGCTGCACTCAAATAAAAGCCCCATTTGCAGGGAAATTAATCACTCTTGATTGATTTTTCCCTCTCTAACAAATGTCAGATAATTAGGGTATTACTCAGATAAAGTGAGTATTATTTGCTCGAGTTCTTAACATAGCAGTTGCCACACTGAAAAAAAAAAAAAAACTACAACAGTAGTTCGAAATTTACTTTATCAAGTCAAATATACACTCACCGGCCACTTTATTAGGGACACCTTACTAGTACCGGATTTGATCCTTCATAATTGCCTTAATCATTCATGGCATAGATTCAAAGAGGTAATGTAAATGTTCCTTAGAGATTTTTGTCAATATTGACATGATAGCATCACGCAGTTGCTGCAGATTTGTCGGCTACACATTCATGATGTAAATCTCGGATTGAGTTCTGGTGACTGTGGTGGCCATTTGAATACAGTGAACTCATTGTCATGTTCAAGAAACCAGTCTGAGATGATTCGTGCTTTATGACATGGCGCGTCATTTAGCTGGATGTAGCCATCAGAAGATGGATTCACTGTGGTCGAGAAGGGATGGAGTACCAGTACTCGGTTAGACTGTGGTGTTGAGACAGCGCTCAATTGGTACTAATGGGCCCAAAGTGTGCCAAGAAAATATCCCCCCACCTAAACAAGGCAGGATGGATTCATGCTTTCATGCTGTTGATGCCAAATTCTGCCTCTACCATCTGAATGTTGCGGCAGAAATCGAGACTCATCAGATCAGGCAACGTTTTACCAATCTTCTATTTTCCAACTTTGATGAATCTGTGCCAATTGTAGCCTCAGTTTGCTTTTCTTAGCTGACAGGAGTGGCACCCCGTGTGGTCTTCTGCTGCAGTAGCTCATCCGCCACAAGGTTGGACATTTTGTGGGTTCAGAGATGCTTTTCTGCATACCTCAGTTGTAACATGGTTATTTGAGTTACTGTTGCCTTTTTATATCAGCATGAACCAGTCTGGCCATTCTCCTCTGACCTCTGGCATTTGCACCCACAGAACTGCCGCTCACTGGATATTTTCTCTTTTTCTGACCATTCGCCGCAAACCCTAGAGATGCTTGTGCCTGAAAATCCCATTAGATCAGCAGTTTCTGAAATACTCAGACCAGTCTGTCTGACACCAACAACCATGCCACATTCAAAGTCACTTAAAATCACCATTCTTCCTCATTCTGGAGCTCGGTTTGAACTGCAGCAGATTTTATTGACCATGTCTGCATGCCTAAATGCTTTGAGTTGCTGCCATGTGATTGGCTGATTAGAAATTTGCGTTAACAAGCAGTTGTACAGGTGTGCCTAATAAAGTGCCCGGTGAGTGTTTCTTTTGAACACATTTTGTAAAGTTAAATTAGGAAGAAAGTTGCAGTCTAAAAGATTATTTGTACTGTGGGTGAAAGCCTACCTACCTAATATTTGTATCAACTTATTAATGTGTTCAATTGTGTGCATTGATTCTCCTTTTCGATTTTTTTTTCTTTTTTGGTTGACTGTTCATTTAAAGAATTAATTCAAGGTAACGTTTCCTTTTTGTAGTTGTTTTTTTTTTTTTTGTGCAGACAGATTTAAAAACAAATACACCTACAGTTAAACAGTTGAGTTTGAACATTTTTCTTTATCTATTCAGCTGATCTTCAGGTCTGGCGGGAGCACTTTTAGCTTAGCTTAGCATAGATCATTGAATCATATTTAATTGAAGATTAGCATCATGCTCAAACATGACCTAAGAGTTTTAATAATTTTTTGGTCGTGCTGCATAACATTCATCGTGTTTGCGTTGGTCAGTTTTAAGTGAGATGCTAATGTTCTAATCCCATTCATCTATCTATGCTAAGCTAGGCTAAAAGTGCTGAAGATCTACTGAATGAATTAAAAAATGATTAAACTCAACAGTGTAATACAAGGTGACTTGTAAAAATAAGTCTATATCCAACAAAAAGTAGAGTGTTCCTTCAACATAAACTGTTTTGTAATGCACGTGTGTTCTGAATTTTAGGTTATGTTCTCCACTGCTCCAAACTGCACAAAGACTCACTGGAAACAGACGGTCTTCTTATTAGAAAGTCCTGTTGCTGTCAAAGCCGGTTCGTACCCTGTTCACACACACTTCTAACATGTTCCTGTCTTCGCTATATGGTGTTTGCTTTTAGTCGTGTTCGTCTATAAACTGAGTTGAGATCTGGCAAGAACATATGAAGCTGTCACATCTTTTAAAACACAAAAAGATGTGTTGTGTCACAGACAGGGGTATCTTATCTTTCTCCAGCCTGACAGTTGATTGTGAGACTGTGACACGGGTTATCCGTCAGTCATGAGAGATAGACACATGATTGAGCAGTTCTGGGTTTAGTGCACACCAACCATGCAGCTTGTTCTCTCTGTTGATAAATATATATACAATTATTCCTACAGGGGTTCAAAGATGAAATAACACATCTGGTTTGGAGACAGATTTATGTAGGCATTTATTTTTTTCAATCCTTGTGTATTAGGTTGTTCTAACACAAAATCACTATGTTGGTTGAAGTTTTGTTAAATCTGAATTCTTTTTTTTTAATGTTTTTTTTAACAACAGGTCAACAAGAGGTTTTATATTTAGTCAAATGATAGTAACTGCTTAAGTTGAAATACTTTCAAAATTTAGTTATGGACATTTTCATTTACGTCCAGAACTGATTTAGAGAGCTATTTGTAAAACCTAGATTCCTTTCCATAAATAAAGCAATCTTCATTGTTAAAAATGGAGTTTATATTCACAAGTGGTCAAAATTAAAGAACAGCAATGACTGAAGCACTAGCAAAGATTATAAATAAAAATTCTGAAGGCTAAAGGAGTCAGAAATGAGTAGGAATTCTTTGAATGACTTCAGCACATTTGCAGACTATCACTAGTCTTTCACAGGACATCATTAGTCTCTCTCTCACTAGTCTATTGTGTTAATCTCTTCTTCAATCTCTTCCACATTTCACTGTCTTTAGTGGTTTGTTAGTTTTTGATTTTTCAGAGTTTCAATCAGGTTTAGTTCAGGACTCTGGGTTGCCCATTTCAATGATTTCAGCCTCAAGAAGTTCCAAAATGTTTCCCATGAGACACAAACAAATTAAACTTGCTAAAGTCTATATTATTCCAGTTTTCTGTCCACACAACATGCTCCTCAGCAAAGGGTAATGTAGTCTTTTGATTTTTATCCGCTGAGGAAGGTTTAATTGCAAATTCTTTTAAATGTTGAGACACTATGCAGAGATTCAGATTACCTTGTTTAAAGCTGATAACCAGCCTTTAGTGATACTGTAAAGATTATAATGTAATATTGTAGAATTCGTACAGATTACAAAAGATCAACTTCTCTTGTTGACCTTCATCTGGTCATCCAACTGTCTTTGCATGGTTTCAGTCACTTTTGAATGGCTCACTATCTTGCAAATTTGAATAGGGTTTGTCAAGTTTTAAAAAGGATAAAATAAGTAAGGATAAAATAAATAGTATTTTATACAGTGTTGAGTAAGTAATTCATTAATAATTGCATCATGACAGTTGTATTTAAATTATTTTCTAATTACTTGGTCTAAAAAGTAACTTGGGGTGCTTTCACACCTAGACTTTTGTTTTGGTCTTGTTTGCCCAGTTAGCGCGGTTTGTTTGGCATATGTGAATCCAGCAATCGCGCTCGGATCCGCGCCAAATCAATGAGTCCGAGATTGTCTGAATGAGCTGGTCTCGACTCAATTGAAACGAACTCTAGAGTGGATCGATTGTAGTGAGAAAGCAAACGATACAAGCCTGGATATATCACAGTGTATTATAGCTATGTTATTGGTAAATATGGCTATAAGAAGAGAGAATTATAAGTAGGGCGAGATGTCATTCCTACTGGTAAATGTGCGTTTCATGTAAAATACGAAAATGAAAGCATGCTAAACTATTAACGAGAGCTATTTACTCATTAGGAACATTAACCGAACTGCTGTCTAGCCAAGGGCAATGCATGAGAGAGTCTTACCTCGGATTTACATCTGATGATGATGTCTGTGAGCGTCACCATTCAAAGTTAAAGCGCATCTTTCTGCTTATAATGTCTTATTGCTCATCACCATAAATTAATATAAGGACGCATGACAGCTGAGCTCTGCAAAATAAACCATGAAACTCTGACCAATGTGAGGAGAGTTTACTCACACGTGACTTGTTTTAGCTCTTTTGGTCCATTTAGAAACTTTGCCGTGTGAAAGTAAACCGCACCAAGAACAAAGAGCTACATTGTAACAATTTTAATCCCTGTTTCGGAAACACTGAATCGATTCACAGGTGTGAAAGCACCCTTAGTTACTCAGTAAGTAATTTAATTACTTGACCAAAAATCCACATAAATCTCAAGGCCTAATACTTAATACTAAATTTGAGTCTTTTTCCAGGACCTTTTAGTTTATATATATATGTGTGTGTGTGTATATATATATATATATATATATATATATATATATATATATATATATATATATATATATATAAAATAAGTATTTTTTTCTGCAGTAGCCTAAACAAATCTTAAACATTAAAAATGCTTTTACATTACTGTATTTACATATGTAGCCTATGAATAGCCTAATAATAAACTATGCTTAATAAGAAATAATTTAAATAGTTTGTTTTTACATTGTTAACTCACAAAACACGTAAGTCACTTATATGAGCATGTTAATGAAAATTCATGAATATATCTTATTATTTTACTGCATTTTGCAACTCAAAGAAGGTACTTTCAACTAAAGGGAGCACAATAAACTAAGAAAGATCCCGACCTCTTCCAGAAAAGGCAAACATATTGATTTTTCTCCAGAAGAATGGTAAAAAGCTGAGAGTCATTTTTCTTCAAATCCTTGTACATTCATTTACAGGAAAGTTTTTATTTAATTGTTTTACAATTTAAGTATTTTTTTGGTCCCACTTTATATTAAGTGGCCTTAACTAATATGTACTTACACAGGAATTAATAGTTTGTTACAATGTACTTATTGTGTAAATACATGTATTTATTGAGTACTTATGCTTGATTAAATACCGGTATGTAATTACATCTGTAATTAACTTCTGTAATTACATTTGTAAATACACTGCTGACCATTCCCTACACCTTAACCCACCCTCAAACCTACCCACACCACCAAACCTGTCCATAACCCAACCTCTATCCCAAGTCAAGAGCACCACGTGTTCTCAAATACATTAGGTACACAGTAAGTACATTGTATTTATTTTTTGATTCAAGTACATAGTAGTTAAGGACACTTAAAATAAAGTGGGACCATTTTTTTTATTATTATTATTATTAAAAAAGTAATCATAAAAAAGTGTTGTTTTTAATAAATAAAAAAACTACAAAATGTACAGATAAAAGAACTGTTAAAGTACTGAACTGAAAGGTGGTATCGATAAAAGGAGTAATATCGTTAAAACCTTTACGATACCCATCCCTACATATAAATATTTATCAGATCTGCGCTCTTAAACTGACACCTCTGTTCTCAAACACAATGAGAGATTCATTTGCTGCTCTTCTCTAAATAACTATAGTAACTTTAATCAATATGCAATTACAATAAAAATTAATGAGATGTTATAGCTTTACTTAATTTCTGTATAGGCCATTGTATTTAATAGGCTAAACCTTTTATTTTATTGTCAATGTTTTCTAATGTTTGCTATGTATTCTATCATTTGAAGCTATTTGTTGTCCCATATTTTTTTACATCCCAATGTTGACAGGTATGACATAACATGGTGGCTAATCAATAAATAGCTATCGTGCTATCTGTTTGTTTTAACGTCAGCTAATGTTATGGAAGGGCATAGATGTTATGGAAAATAGTAATAGTAATGTAACTACCTCCATCATTCCTTCCTCAAGCAAATGTGTATATATTAGATCTATTCAGCAATAACGTTGATTGCATCTGCATATTTATCTGGCGTTTCCCCAGCTTGTAGTAGTAGATCAAAAAGGTATTTAGTTTCTTATGACTATATGTACACTAGCAGTGGAATTTACTGCGATGTAATGGGGCTCCACCTGAAACCTAGGGCGCCAAATTGGTTAGGGCTGGGCCTGCCGACAGGTTTTATCGTAATTATATATGTATCAAAACCAAAAAAAAATGCTTCAAATGAATGTCATTGTATTTCAAACATGGCACTATTGACATACAATTCTAAAATATTTCATTGTTTTTAAGCATGTGCAGTTCGGACACATAAAACCTTTAGTTGAAAAAGACAGAAAATGTCTAAATAACAAAAAATAATATTTACAATTACTCTGCTTCTTTAAAATTATTCATTATGTTGTCTTAAACTATAATATTGTTTTTCTTTAGCATATGCAATTTCCTTGATAAATGATTCGTTCTTTAAAAAATACAATTATTCTGCTCTTCTGAATAGATATATATAGAACTGTTGGATTTACATACAGTATTTAACCAGTTAAACTCTAGTGCTATTTTGGGATTTCCGCCTGGATTTTGCCTATCCAAATTTAAAAGCTTCCCAAATCCACATGTACAGTAGAGGTGTAAATGCAAAAGTTTGGTAACATTTTAAAGAAAACCCTTTGGATTTTCATAAAACACTGTTTAAAATAACTATATATGTTGTCTGTGTTGTAATAAACACCTAAAAAAGAGGCGCTTTTTGTATTTTTTTTCATAAACTTAAATTTGAAAGTGTGCCTTTTAGGTTCTGTGTGGTCTAGCTTGCTGTAATTAATTTTGGTGGTTCCTGCACGTCTGTAATCATAGGAAAAAAGAAAAACGTCACACAGGGGACCGATCATTGTTTTCATATTTCACTATTCTTCTGTTTGATCAAACATAATTCACTGTGTTTGTACCACGTCAGACATGTTAAAGGATTACTTATGCACATCACCTCAAAAAAAGAGGAGAATGGCCCTGAAGCACACAGAAAAAGGTAAGAGATGACAGCTGTCTGTGCTATCTGGGGCTGCTTAGTGATCATAAATGTATTGTTTTCACTTCTGTGCCATGGAAACATCACGATTCATTTGGCAACTGTTTGATAGATTTG